TGGTTTCACCTTTAGAGTTGCCATACTGACATAAATGAACATTTGCACGATATTCTAATTTTTCGAGTTTCACCTGTATTTATAGAAAAGTGCATGATAAATGCTTATCGTATCACTCAAGGTTTGTTAGTTGGGAATCTAACTGGGTGTACTTCTATATTCAGATGATGCTCTCTTCTTGGCAAAGCATCCAGATGACTTGTAGCAAATGTGGATAAGTTATATAATGCAACCAGGAGTATGAATCTGAAAATCAGTGCAGCAAAGATCAAGATAGTGGTGCTTGACAGGGAAAATGGAGGTCTACAAGTCAGACATATCAGAGCAAGTAGATGAATTTACAGATAGTCCTCGCTTAGTGACCACAATGGGGACTGGCAACTAAGCGATGCGGTCGCTAAGCAAGATATCACGTGACTGCGACTTGCAGTTTTACTGCTGGCTTCTCCATTGACTCTGCTTGTTGGAAGCCAGTTGTGAAGTATGCAAATGGTGATCACATGACCACAGGACTCTGTGATGGTCATAAATGCCCGCTGGTTGAAAAGTGCCCAAATGCTGATCATGTGACTATGGGGATGCTGCGACAGTCATAAATGCAAGTAACTGGTAAAGTTACTTTTTCAGCACCGTTGTAACTTTGAATGGTCATTGAACAGGGCAGTGATTAAGTGAGGTCTACCTGTAGTACCATTTTTACCAGTGATGGGAAAGTGGATAGTGAAATGTTAAGACATGCGCTTGCTTGCAGACAGGGAATATATAGCCTGTTGTGAGAAAGGAATGCTTGTCTAAAGAAGCACCATGGCCATGTACAAGAGTGTGTTTCTGCCCACTTTGTTCTGTGGAAGTGAGAGCTGGGTATATCAGGGGAAACAGAAAAGGAAGTTGAATGCAGTGGGAAGGGGGTTCTTAAGAGTGATGGGGTCAAGAATAAAGGATTGCTGAATGAATGTAAACTGAGTACAAAAGTGAATAATCACTATAAAAGAAGTACATTACATTACATTACAGTGATTTGGTTGTATAGAGAGAATGAATAAGGATTGAATTGTAGAACAGATCTACAAAGAAAGAATAAATATATTTAGAGGATGGGAAAGACTGAGCAGATTGGAAGGAGTTGATGAGATCCTCAAAAAGAGACCAGGGGAACTGAAAGAACAAAAGGCAGTGTATGAAGTGGTTTATTCATATAATGGAAGCAAGGATAGTTTCTGATGGAGAAATATAGTGAATGGTATTGAGGGATAACCAGATATAGTAATAATTCCTTGTATCTCCAGCCTTTAATTTCTTTGGCTAACTGCTCCTTATTCTTTTCCTGTGGTTTGCATTATGCTGTTTACCCCAAAGGGAACTGCATGATGGCTGAGTATTTATGTTTGTGGGCATGCTTAAAGTGGCAATATTCTGTAACATCTTCCTCCTCGCATTGTATGTAGAGTTTTAGATATTTTTAAAAAAGAATGTAGGACATGCTATAAATCAGTTGTCTGACATTGTGAATTGGGCTGCAACACTCAGAATAATTGCATTTCTCTGGTAAATATCAGCATACATGGTTTAAACTGCATAGACAGTATAATCTTGACTACATTCTAAATGAGAAAATGGCTTGGTCATTCTGCTGCATGTGTTTGAGCGTTAATTGGTATTTTTCCTTTTTTATTTAGGTTGGAGGTTCTACATTTGTTTGAAAGCAGTTTATAAGTTCAAGCCTCCTCCATGCAAATATAGCATTTTTTGAAATAAGGCTTTCCTTTTTTAGGCTGATTTTTCCTGCAGTTTTGGGTAGAGGTAGAAGTGTATGATCTTGGAAGCCCAGTCAGTCTAGGAGATGATAAGATCGAAGCAACAATTTGGAATAGAACTCAGAGCGTTATTTATTGTAACTTCATGCAGGCACATGCAGTGGATAACACATTAGAATGGGTACCTGATGGTAGAAACTTATATTTCTGGTGGATTAAACCAGATTAAATTTGTGGTAATATTGGGCCTTAATCCCTTCCACAGTTTGTCAGCCTTATTGTTGATAAATGTTGTTGGGTTTAGTCAGAAAATATCTAAGGAGCATTCCCAGAGGTCCCAAAATCTCTCTGTAGGATTCTTTATCATGCAGGTTTTCCATGCAGGGGGAACAAGGAAATGCATTTGATTTGCTGTTGAACTCATGAAATCGTCTTGGGGCAGAGGAGAAACATCTTTGCATGGATTAATCATTCCTGGGTGTGGTGTAGATCCTTTGTTACACCTGGGAGTGTTGGGGCAAACAAATGTATAATGTCTGAATCCCTCGTTCTTTTATTATAAAATATTTACTTGTAATTGTCTTCAGCCTAAGGCAAACCACAGGCTGTTTAGTAGATAGAAAACAGGATTATGTAGCTTCAGAAATGGGACATTGTATGACTTTGAAGTGTTGTCTTGCTCCCCCCGTCTTACTTCAAGGAATGCCTACAAGATCGGTATTTTGTTTACAAATGAATGCAGACATACAAAGACACTTTATCAAAGTACTTATGTGGATGTTTGCAAAATTAGAACTGGCTAAAACCTTCCAGCTTTTCCTGTGTTCATTTTAATAAATCATTTTATGCGGTTCCAGTACTGCAGGCAACTTTCTCAGGGATTATCTAGGATTCTGAACCACAAAAATGACTTTCATTAGTGTTCTGAGGCTTTATAATATTTCTTTCTCCGAGGGAGATCTAAGAATGGGTGTGTTGGTACTCGCCTCCCAACCTAGGATTTGCTAAGAATACTTCTGGACTGAGCACTGCATGTGGATCTGGATTTGTCCTCCTGAGAAAACCTTGATTATATCTGCCCTAGTTTTGCTTTTAATGCTGCTTGTAATGTGTCAGAGAAAGTGACCCAATTGGCTTTTTTGAATCCTGTGTATCAGCGACTTCCACAATGGTTTTGTTTCATGAACGGCCTGCTTCTTAGCTAGTTCATAACTGAAAAGGATTCTTTTACTCCTGGCCATGCAGCTTGAAGAGCTGCCATATTTATTTGGACTATTTTGCCAGGTAATAGCTTTTAATGCATTTAGAATTTGACAAAATAGAGGATTTGGGGTGCATATAAGTGGCTCCAAAGAATTTCTAGACCAAGGCAGCTTTTGAGGGCATGGCCAGCTGATGGTAGCCCCCTGGGTTGTAAATGCAGAGATGACTTGGATTCTGGTGGCAGGTGCCAGAGGCAGTGTAGGAGCCAAGGGGTTTCCTGTCCTCCAGGGTTCAACTCAGAATCCAAGACTGTGGCAGATTGTAAAATCAGAGTTTATATTATTGCTAGGCGGAGTGGCTTGGAAATGGACTTATCCTTCAAATCTTGGGTCTCTTTTTCATTAGTTTTTAGGTGCACTTCTGTTTGTGTAGCATAGCTTCATGTGTAAAACCTTCCAGCAGCTGCTCCAGTCCCACATTCCAAGAAAAGTTCCTCTAAGATGCTTCATTTTCCTGGCTCAGTAGAGTCAACTGGAGAGTGATTGCTCTGCCATCTTTATCTGCATGTGTTAATGGATTCTTTTTAGTTAAGAGTTAACTAAAGTTAAGAGATGGAAGTCGCATCACTCCCAGACTGTTTCAGTACATCACCAATATGTGCCATTGGGTGAGATGCACTAAAATAATAGGCTCAGTAATGCCACTATGTAGTAGATCCAGACATCTTTAGTTACTTTTTCTTACTGTACTTGTTTTTTTCCCCCCTTAATTCTTCTAGAATGGACAGAACTTTTGCATTCTGGATGAACAGAGGTTTGCTAAAGAATTGCTTCCTAAGTACTTCAAACACAACAATTTATCTAGCTTCATACGACAACTCAACATCTGTAAGTATCAGATTCTGTCTATATTGGTTGCTCTTTTCTACCCACAATGCCCATTAAAATGAAAAGACTCCTCTACCTAAGTTGTCAGAAAATAAACAGTGATTAAATTATTTGAATCTTAGATGGAAAGGCTCTTGCATTTAAATAGCTACACTATAGTTGGATTCATGCCACAGGTGTAACATTCACCTATTCACGCAATAGCTATAGAGCTGTATGTGGATTTTTAAAGGGTGCTTTCAAGCTGTGTATGGAACATTAAAGGAGCCACATCCTCTGAAAGGTTCATGCGGCTACTTTAAAAGTGGTCCCAGGCTGGCCATGCACATGTAGGCCATGCACAGTTCTTTTGCTTTGCTGGCAGGGCCTTGTATGAACCTTGCAGAGGCTGTAACTGCATTAATGTTTTGAGGAAGAGTGTAGGGCTTGCAGACTTTGTGAAGTGCCCCTTTCAGAAAGTTTGCATAGCTCTATTACCAATGTCATATAAACCTTACTAGTCATATGAAATAAGCTTCAGGGTAGAGTAGCTACATGGAGATAGCAACAGCTGCACTTAACCACACCCTGTTGTACTGTGTGCTCATTCTAGGGCGTGCACATTTGGAGTTAGGGCGTGGCATATCCAACACCTGAATGTAAGTAAGAGTGCAACGTGTTCCAGGAAGGCTGTGCCTTTAGCAATGTAGTATTTAAAGAAGCCTGGTTTGAAATCCCTACTTGGTGCTGGAGTTCAGTGTGTGACTTTGGGTCAGTCATTCTGTTGTGGGAAATAAAAGCATGAAGTCCCACATGTCAGTCACCTTGAGCTCCCAGAAAAAAGGCAGGAGATGAATGCAGTAAATAAATAATTGAAAAGTGGATTCTTGATAGGAGACTGGTGTAAAACCTCCAGTGGTAAAGAAAGAGCAGAAGAATGTAGGAGACCTTCAGTTGGTGGTCACATATCTTTCAAAAGGGAAGAAAAAGCCCTAGGAGAGAATTTAATGGCCTTGCTCACTCACAATAATTGGGGAATATCATCTTTGGTTTGGGGTACAATATCATCAATATGCTGATGATACTCAGCTTTCCATCCTACCCCAGAACGAGATGCACTCAAAGTCCTGGAGGCTTGTGAGGGACTGGATGGGGTGGAACAGACTTAGACTGAATTCCCACAAGACAGAGTTGCTGTTGATGTGAATTTCTGTTGGCTCCACAGAGACTCTATGAAGGGGCAGGTTTGCAGTCTAGGGGTCCTCTTGGACTTAGGGCTCTTGCTAGAGTGGTAGGTGGAAGCCGTGGGCAGGTTTGACTGCTGTGCCAGCTACTTCCTTCCTTTCCTGGGTCAGGAGAGATTGAAGAGAGCAACTCACACTCTTGTAATCACATGGTTAGCATACTACAATTTGCTGCACCCAAGGTTATTCCTGAAAACACCTTGGAAGCGGAAGCTGCTATAGACTGCAGACTCCCCCGTTGCTACTAGCCCCTTTAGCAGAGTAGCACTTAAGTTGTGGTTGTGCTGGTTGCCAGTGTGCTTCCAGGCTCAGTTCAAGGTGCTGGTGGTTAACTATAAAGCCCTACATAGTTTGGGTCCTTGGCTGCATGGGAATGTTTCCTCCTGGAGTTGTCCCTTCACTGTAGAAGAATCAGGTGAGCTCCTGCCCTTTCATCATTCAGAAGTGGGGTGAAAGCAGTTCTCTTCTGTAGGGATTTTGGAACTAGGAATTACAATGATTTGTTCCTGGATTTTGTATGTAGTCTTGATGTTGGAATAGAGTTTTGTTTGTTTGTTTGTTTTAGTAGGTCTCCTAGAGCAGTGTTTCTCAACCTTGGCAACATTAAGACAGGTGGACTTAAACTCCCAGAAGTCCACCCATCTTAAAGTTGCCAAGGTTGAGAAACACTGTCCTAGAGTGTTTTGAGTAAGTAGTAGATTACACATTTTTGTAAGTGAATAAATAACTTGTCCATTTTTTGTTCTCCCTGGAATTTGATGAGACAGTGAGATAGCCAAAGATAACAGGGTTGGGAATAAAAATTGCAATGTTTGAAGTGAAATTTTCTTCAATACAAAGCGTATCTTTTAGAAGCATAGATTTAAACTAGAAGGATTTGTATATTCCAATTCTTGGTTCTTTTGCAAGAGTATGTTAAATTTTGAATAGTTTTCTAATAATAAACAGCACTGAATTCTACATTGAAAAAACTTGCATTCTTGCATTAAAGATGTGATATGATAGCGTGATTTGTTGAATAAGAGTTAGGAAATTATGCTGTCATATGGAACTAAATTTTGTGTTTTTTTTTTTTTTTAAATATTCTTTATGGTAAGTAATCAAGGATATCAAGCTCATTATACGTTTCCATCATCACATTTGTTTGTTTTCTAGATTTTGTTCTGCATTGCAAAAATGCAGTTATGTGTTCCAAGAACTGTATCTTTATAAAATTCATTTAAACTGGAGGAGAAAGCATTTTAATGGAACATTAGCGGAATAGCAGGTTTTGGGGTGGGAATGGGAGTCTAACCAGAAAGCATGATGGAAGTATGTTTTTAGAAAGTTGTAGCATTTCTGATATCAGATTTTGTGTGTTGTGATATCAGGTAAAACTGTGAGAAATGATAGTAAACTGAGTCTCCTCAAAATACTAATTCTGCATGTATTCTCCACTGTTGTTCTAAACAAACATCTCAGCTTTCTGGATGACAATGTAACTGGAAATTGTCTCTAGAGATTATTTCACATTTGCCAGCCAGTGGATTCTGGACCTGTTTCAGATATTCAAGAAATAAAGGTCATATGTTGATACTAGGTTGTGCAACACTTTGGATTTAATTCCAAAAAAGCACTTTGCAACAAAGAGTCTGCATTTCTTTAAAGCAGCTGAGTCTGTTTGTTTGTTTATTTAAAATGATTTATATGGCTGCCCATCTCAACATTGTGACTTTGGGCAGCTAACTACATAAAAACATGCCAATAACAATACAAAAGTAAAAACAATAATTTAAAAAACTATAACAAAAAACTAAGCACACGTAAACAGTACAGTACAATGAATTAAAAAATGTTTCAGCTCCTTTTGCCAAGGTAAAGGTTCTTGCATATCTCCATCAAAGTTATCTTACTTACTCTCTATACTACCCACTCAAGTAGGAGCAGAACCACTGCAAAACAGTGTCCCTAATTCCCAGTCTTTGCAGGCAGCCTAGAAGGATACATTGGTTGATGGTACTGCTAAGAGTTGTAATAGGACTAGCAGGGTTGGATTCCACCCATCCAAAGTCAACACGCAGGTCATTCACCAGTACAGGATTCAGCTGAATCCTGGTTGGAAGCAATTAAGATAATCTGCCTCTTCTAGGATCCTTAGTTGAGTTCCCACCACTTTCTCAATAACTTTAGCTGAAAAAGGAAAGTTGAAGATAGACTGAAAATTGTCAAATATAGCCAGGGCAAAAGATGTCCTTTTCAAGTCAGATGGTATTACACCTTCCTCAAAGAGACATTGCTCAGCCCAGAGGAGCCAGGAGGAGCATAAACTAAGTAATGGAGCTCATTCTCCAAAGCATCTTATCTAGTAGTCCTCTGGATTTCATAAACTCAAAAGAATCCCAGGTTGTCTTGTAAGAGTTACTCATCTTCCCTCACTTAACTCTGTCCAGCTGGTATCCAGACCAGAATCTATACTTTGAGCACCAATGAAGCTCCATTCCTTTTCCAGCTCTGTTACAAGTCTTTGATATTGGGAGGTGCACTTTTCATGTCTTCCAATAATTTCCTTGAGAGGACTGGCTGTGTTGCTTTCCTCTACAAGAGAATGGGGGTAAATACTCCTCTGAAGTTGCCTTGTTATACCCGGGCACTTGTGCTGTTGGGAACCATGTGTCTGAAGATGGGTGAGACATTCGGAAGGCTGGCTTCTTCTGGAGGACAGCTTATAGACCCATGGAGGCATTTTGATAATGGAGCACTAGTCCAACAATCACCTCTGCTTGAGGCTTTGCAGGTGTTTGGGCTCCTTTTAAAACCTCCCATACGTGTATAATGATGGAAGACAGTATGACTATAATTGCTTTCAGGAAACCAACTTCTGGCTGCTGTGTTCTGTATTTTCTTTGGCAACTTTTCTTCTATTCTTCCATTGGTCTGTTATTACCCTGATCTCTTCCCTTTGAAGAAGGAAGAAGGGATACAGGTTTTGTCATATCAAAATATGACCACTGTAATTCTTCTCTTGAATGGGGAGTTTGCATCTAACTATAGGAAAAGGAAAGAGTCCAAGTGTAGGTGGGTTTCTCAGAAACACAAATGGATTTAATTTTCCCCAATGTTGTTACAGATGGCTTCAGAAAAGTGATTGCACTTGAAAATGGCATGATAACCTCTGACAAGAATCCTGCCATTGAGTTTCAGCACCCGTTTTTCAAGCGAGGGAAGGCTGATTTGCTGGCAAACATCAAAAGGAAGGTATTGTATTCTAGTGCGCTGCCTGGTGAAAACTTCTTTGTCCGGTGCTATTGCATATTACCTGGTCTACTTTTTGTTTAAAGCATTATGCGCAAAAGCCTTGACCTTGGTCACCCCCTTGAAATGGATCTTGGCTGATCTCAGAAAAACTAAGCAGGACTGGATCACTTTAGTACTTGGATGGGAGACCACCAAAAATTGTAGGACTATAGAGTAGAATGAGAAGTTGAAAAAACATTCTAGAAGAAGGCAAAGGCAAGCCACTTGCCTATTGGGCATGTTCATGGAGTCTCCAGGAGTTGAGCTTGTTTATGTTTTCCATCCATGCAAATGTTTTTTTTTTAATTGAGATGATGAAATACTGCTTTACTTGCAAAATTCTGGAGCTGTGGAGGCTGAATGGCCAGCTACCTTGTAATGTAATTGATATAGATATACAGCTATACAGAAAGCAAAAATCAATTAAAAAAACCCCAAAACCTCATGTATTATGATAGATATGTAAAAGCAACTCAATTTTTAAACAACAAATTAAACCTTGCCTGCATGGGATCATAGTGATTGGTCTTCATTTTGCCAATAGAGAACCATTCAAAGTCTGGGAGGGAACAAATTTCTTCAATGGACAGTTTTACCAACTCAGTATTATCTTTTTAATACATTCCAAGTACAGTAAGGACAAATGTCTAAGTAAATTGATAAATTCCAAGGTTTGGGTACATCTTTAAACCATATTTCTCTCCCCAAGATCATATTAACAATGATGTGAACATTAGACCAAAACTGGTCAGCGGTAGGGCAAGCCTAAATCATAAGTGTCAGAGTCCCCTCACATTTAGCCTTTTTCTTTTACATTTGTGTCAGTGTTTTTCTAACTGGGATGTTGCAATCCTGCTTTCTTAGTAAAATTCTGGTACTGGGGTGGGTATGTGCCCAATTAGCTATTCCTGAGTTGACATTAACATCAGCTTTGGGTTATCATCTGTAATTGGCAAGGGGAAGGTTGTGTGTCTGAGTGTTTTCAGCATTCTCACTCCTTATGAGTCAAATTTCAATTGTTCCTTATAAACATGTTTCATCTTAATAAATCATCTTCAGTCTACTCTGTCACAGGTATCTACGGTAAGACCAGAAGATCTCAAAGTCTGCCCAGACGACTTGCACAAAGTGTTGTCTGAAGTCCAGGAGATGAGGGAGCAGCAGAACAATATGGACATCAAGCTGGAAAGTATGAAAAGGTGCAGCACCTTCCCCAGGAGCAAGTATTGAGAGGCAAATCATGAGAGTTTCCCACCCCATCTGTAGGGCTGCGTGTAGAATGAAGGGATTGCCTGAGTACAGAAATATGGACTCATTGGCAGCCTGGATGACATTCTTCTGCTCCAGTGGAGAATGTTATACCATGATATGAGCACCCACCCACTTTGAAAAGGAAATAAGGATCTTGCTGTTAAGGTTGCAGATAATTGCAAATCTAGAGGAAGTGCATTTCCTTATTAATTTTCTTCACGTTTGTTTCTTGTCCTCTGTCCCTAAAGATCTTGCTCATGCTGGCTGCTGAGTTGGCCTGCTGAACTGTGGAATCTAACCCACCCCCAAGTTTAAGTGTTCTTCTATAATGTTTTAATTAAGAATGGTCTGGTGTGGGCAGTGGGAAGATCCATAGGTCACTGGTAGAGCAGAAGGTGTCCATCGTCCATGAAAAGCTGCCTGATGAAGGGCTGGACTAATAGGCCCCCTCGCCCTTCAATGGTACCAGGCTTTCTGCCTGTTCCCTTCCAAAGAGAGAGTTCTTGGATATGCTGGAGCTTTTTGTCTGCAGGACAGATATTTTGCCCCTGGGCTGTGACCTTTTGTGACTTTGGCCTCCCAAATCTCAATTTAAAGGATCTCAGGAAGCAGGGCTGAGAAACACCCTTTCTTGGAACCCTGGCAGCCACTGTAATTCAGTGTGTTTAGATGGACCCTTCCCCACATCATTTCAGGACAAGCCTCTTTGTGCCCCACCAATCCCAGGAGAAAGTCCAGTAAAGCTATGGCATCTCTTTTCTTTTCCATTCTGGGTCTCTTGGAATGGGAAAGGTGGTTAGTCTCCCTCCTTTGGCAGCCTTCACACATCCTTCTTTCCTTAAGTGGAGCACCCCAAACATTTTTCTCGCAAAAATCTCTGGTAGACTAATCTGAACTCTAGAAAGCCAGTTCACTTTTATGACCTTGCCTCTTCCTGTTTCTCATTTTCAGGGAAAACAAAGCCCTCTGGAAAGAGGTGGCCTCTCTGCGCCAGAAGCACAACCAGCAGCAGCAGCTTTTATCAAAGGTGCTGAGAAAGCCTGGGCCTTGGCCTGATGCTCTGCTCTGCTCCAAAGCAGCCATCACTTGTCTTGGGCTCTCCAACTCCCACTACCCTCACTTGAATGCAGGAGATGGGACAGTTGGAATGTTGCCTCCGGGAATCAGCTGAACTTAGGATCCAGAGCAGGATCCTTTAAAATGATCTATTCTGTTTCCATGCTTAGAAGAAGAGCACCCATCATTATGTAGTACAAATGCCTCCCTGCAAGATAAGGTAGTCCTCAACTTATGACCATTCGTTCAGTGACCGTTCAGAGTTACAGTGGTGCTGAACGAAGGGGCTTATGACTGGTTCCCGAACTTATGGCCATTGCAGTGGCCCCCGCGGTCACATGATCAAAATTTGGGTGCTTGGGAGCCTGTTTGCACTTATGACTGCAGGGGCACTGCAACTCCCCCCATCTGCCTATCTCCCCCCCATCTATGCCTTTTTGGCCCCCTGCATTCTGCATCTCCTACTGCCCCAGCTGACCTTTGCCATCTTCTTGCTCCCGCTGCTGACCAAGCATGCCCGGCCTGGCTCTTCGCAAGGCAACTGCTGGCCGCATGAGACGTTTTTCCCAAGATCATGCATGCTGGTTTCCTCACAAGACCTGTGGAAGATGGCCTCATGTGGCCGACAGCTGCCTCATGAAGGGCCAGCAGCAGGAGCGAGAAGATGGCAGAGGTCAGCTGGGGTGGTGGAGTGCAGGGCAGCAGGGGCCTCAGAGTGCGGGGTGGTGAGGTTGATGTGGCTAGGGTGGCTGAGGCTTCGCACTGCGGCTCAGGCTTCTTGCAGCCCCAGAGCTGCAGCATGGCAAGCAGCCCCAGAGCCATGTGGTTCTGGGGTTGCCCCGCAAGGCAGGGTGCAGGGCAGCCAAAAGGGCAGAGATGGGGGAGATAAGCGTGTGGGGGGAGTTGAAGGCAGTCCCTTACCTTACTGAGGCTTGGGACTGGGAGAGACAAAGCCCAGAATGGCTTGGATTGGGGTGGGTCCTCAGATAATGACTGGTGGAATTCGGTTAACGATGGCAACAGGGAATGCCAGGATTGCCATTGCTAAGCGATGTCATGTGATGTGCTTTACAATCACATCGTTTAACGATGGAAATTCTGGTCCCAATTACCATTGTAAGTTGAGAACTACCTGTAAGAGTATTTCTCAGAGTGCCCCCAGATTTGCAGAAGGAAAGGATTTGAAAGGAGAAGACTGCACTGATAGTCCCAGAAGGCGTTCCTGGAGTAGAAGGCTGAGGGCTGCTAGTGGTGGGGAACTCCTGCTAATTACTTGGAAAGACTGGAATGGAAGAAAAAAGAGCAGAAGAAAAGTCCTTTAGATCTTTTAAAATATTAAAATCAGTGCATGGTCTGGATAAATCGTTTTGCAATGGATAGGCCATTAATTATGAGCAGTTTCACTAAGCAAAGAAAAGAATAAATGCTTACATAAATTGCAAGCAAATGCAGTTCATTCTCCATTTTGCTGGTTGCAGAAAGCTGTGGTTTATAGCACAGTGAACTACCCTATAATTTTACATTATTCTCACTGCATCTTAGTTCAGGCTGAACGCATCAAGTCAGTCTCTGAGCATGTAAGAAAAGTCCCATAGTGTGATTTATGTGCAGGGCAAATACATGCTTTTTACTTTTTTAATTCTGAATCTGGTAGGCATTTTTCAGAATGTACTTCTTTAGGAAATGCAGTTCAAGTAAATAAAGGGGCCTGACTGAAGAGTTAGAAGAAATGTAGGAGCCAAGAATTCACTCTGCTGTCAGGAAATACAAATTATGTTTTCCGTGCATTTGGAGAGGCGAAGATCAGAAGTACTTAAATTAAATTCCTAAGATGTGGAGTTGATAAATAAACTCCCAAATATTGATTATTTAAACTGCTTTTACTTTACTCTTCAACTGAAAAGGCTTTTAGAATATTTTGTAGAACATTTGCAACAAGTGACCCCTCTTATTTATTTATTTTATTATTTAAGTAAAATATGTTTTATGCGAGACTCAGAGACACCTCTGTCAAAGACAGATGGGGAGAAAAGACAAACAAAGCAACTTTGAATGTCTTTATAGCAGCCATCTTTAGAGAAGCAGTTCGTGGAGGGAAGGAGCCTCCTAGAGGAAAGCTGCTGGGCTGAGCCCTGTAATCGGGGGTTCTCGCTGGTGTAACAGATGGAAAGGCTTCTGGAGCACTCACACCCAAGAGAACAGAAGGGAATTGCAGAGGGTCCCGAATTTGACACTGGGGAAATAGGAGCAGAGGTGTTGCTAATGTGAGCCACTGCTCTGTTAACACAGCTTCTGACTTGATGGCGCAGTAAGGTGCTGAATGATTATTCAGTCCATGGACTATCAGCTCAGTCCTCAGTTATTACAGTGAAGGTAAATAATTGCACTGGTTAAGGTGTTGGATCAGGGCTAGGAAAAGTGAAGTTCACGTCCATTCTCGGCATTGGACACACCCTCAGCACTGGGGTCCTTCAACAGATACATCCCCTCAGCCCAGCCTGCCTCACAGAGTTGTTAGGGGCATAAGGTGAAGGAGGACCCTTAAATAAACCACTTCAAACGCGGCTATAAAAGGGGGGACATACATCAAACAACCTGAATTCCTTGTTGATGCCTGGTAATTATGGATGATAGAATTTTTTAAATCTGTTGTACGGAACTTAAATCTTAGGTAAGATGGTCTGGGATGAGGGGGCGTAAGTGTGTATTTGTAGATGTAGTGTGTGCATTATTTATTTATTTATTTGAGGGAGGTATGAACTAAAGGCAGACATTCATGAAAAAGTTTTTTAAACGTTTGCCAGTTGCTCCAGTTTGCGCAGTTGAATATTGTTCCTGTGCTTAATTTCCTTTTGAGGTTGTGATGGTTGAGATGAGAGAGAATTCTTACTTTTCTCCCTCTTTCTTTCAGATCCTCGAGTTTATTCTGGGTTTGATGAGGGGAAACTGCATTTTGGGGCTTAAAAGAAAAAGGTAATTGCTCGCTTTTGGGCTCGGTTGCTGTTCAAAATGAGCTGTCAAAAAGATTCTGATTCCATTTTTTTTTCACAGAGAACAATATTCTTAAAGTCTGAAAGTAGGGCTCCTGTGTCCCTGTTCAGGGAATACAAATGGGACCTACGGAAATGATTCCTTGAGGCATTGAGATGCAAAATACTCCATGGTGCTTTCCTGAAACGCTGTTTGTCCTGTTCCTTTCATCCTGCTCCTGTTTCTGATTGCTTTGCCTCTCTTTTCACGTCTTCTGAGGAACCCTGTTCCTGTCCGTGTTAGAGCTTTTAATAGGGTGTTTCAGCTGCTGTGTGTGAGACTGCTCAGGGCACACCCCACAGCTTACGGCTTGTTGTGAACCTGCCAGAAGCTTGGGCTGACTTCTTTCTGACACCGTCACGTTGATTTATTTGGGGCGTTGCATGAATCTGTCAGATGCTTCTCTGACCAGGAAAAAAATCTCAAAGAGCCCACAGCTTGTTTTAGGTTTGTTTCTCTTCTTAGCATATCAGGTGGAAATTGCTGGCGGCTGAAACCTGAACAGGCCAGTGATGCTCTTAGCAAGCCACAGGGTGATGGGGAAGAGCAGAGAGAAAGCTTCAGTTTATAGGCTGCAGAGAGCATATTGTATGAACCCGTTCTGTGCTTTTTTACTGAGGAAATTACGCAGAAGGATGTGAAGGTTTCATGAAGCGAATTTCAGGTGGAGTCTGAGCTGCTTCAGCTTGGAGACTCGGGGACTTGAACAGAGTTTGCAAAGCAGGTGATCTGCTGGTTAGTAGCTTCTTCCAGTTGGAAATCTTCAGATTATTGTGTCCAGCTCTTGAACTCATGTCCTTTTTTTTTCATCATGTTTATAGAAAAAACTTTTTGGATGGTTACTGCTAGTGAGGGCTTCCAAAAAGGTGTAGGTACATTTGGAAAGGATATGTTTCTTAATTCTTGTGTAAAAGAAATGGCTGTTGTACATTTTCCTATGCAGGAACTTCCCACGTGAGAAATCATGATTTCTTTTTCATTTGAACACAAGAAAGAGTTGCCTTGGATTCTGTAACTCATAGTGGCTGGCTAGAGACCTTATTCTATTCCAGATGCCAGCTGTTCTAGGAAAAGTCGGTCCCTTTTGGTGCAGTAACGATTATGCCTTGATTATGCTGAAAGCCTGCCTCAGTTTCAGCTCCTAAGCACTGCATGTGGCTCTTTGAATTGCAAGCTGTCATTGCAAAGCACGTGCTATCAAATCTGCCATCCTCCAATCAGTTTAGTAGCTGTAAATGAGAAAACAGTATGTGGACCATCAGGGCTGCATTCTAAATCCAGGTAGTTGTACAGTAAAATTAGAATGTCCCATTAAGAGAATTGTATTCTAATGAACCTTTCATCAGTTTGCCCAGCGTCCTACAAGCCTCCTTCAGGAGGCATGCAATTTGTTCTGTTTTGTTTATTTTAAAAAGGGAGTAAAGATTCCCTCTGCGAATCTATTTTCTTGGGCTGTTTAAAGGTCTGAGAGGTGAGAAGCTCAGATTTATGAAAGCCTATTTCTATTTTTACCAAGCCATTTCTCTAGTGATGATTTCCTTGCATGGGGAGCAAACACACAGGGAAATGCTTCAGTTGCATGCACGCAACAGTTTCTGCATAAAAAGCTTTGCTCGATCACCTGTCCATCCACCTCCATAGGAATACAGCTCCCTGTGTGTCCTTCTTCTCCCAGGTCTTTGGCTGATCCTTCAGATACTTCGCCTACAAAATACAGCCGCCAATATGTGCGCATTCCTTTGAAAGACTGTGAAACCGTAAGGCTTCTTCTATTTGTTTTTCCGCTTTACCCTCCTAAGTTATCCCAAGTCAGTTCGTGCTAAGTTAATGCTAGCTTAGTTGGTTATAAAATCCCTTCTTAATGACCACTGTTAATTTTTTTAATAACGTATTTCAATTTGACTAGGAATTCTCCTATTAATCGGCAGAGCAATAACGTTTTAACTATGATAAAAATTGTGTAAATAAAGAAAAATGATGATAAGAGTGTTGGATACGCTGCTAGTTGCTATTGTGCCCTTAGACAGCTATTTCGGAGCATGGTCCAGTCTGCCAAGACTCTATTATCATTCGTGACATCACAGATGCTCAAGAGGAAGAGGAGGAAGCGGAAGATGGTGCCCCAGAGAAACTTTTGGCGCTGGTACACTCCGATCATGAAAGTTGGTGAGGTTACGGATATTCAGATGTTTTCGTTGAGAGACAACACCGAGGCTGAGGCAGGCTGTTTTACAATAAGTGATCCAAGTGCTGACTGTTTTTACCCTAGGGATGTTGTGTGGAGGTGCCTGTATCCCTTGTTCTGCAAAATCTTGGTTTGAGATCTGGTTACCTCCATATTAAAAGAAAGGAATGGAATTAGGGAGGAAAAGTAGAATTGGGAGTTACGCTTAATAGTTTGTCTTAATAAGCAGAAGTCTGGTTTTTTGACAGCTTGGCTCGTGCAGCTAAGGGGATGAGAGGCAGGGCGTTGGTGTGTGTGTGAAACCAGATTCAGCACTCCAATGTCCAGCAATGTCTGTTATGGTTTGTCAGAATCTCCAAGGCTTCTCCCAGCCCTGCTAGCTTAGATATTGAATGTGGAGCTCAATTGCTCAGCTGTGGATCCAGCCCATGAGGTGTGCCTAACTTATTAAAATGGCATGAAGGCCAGAGTGGAGATACCAGCTTTCCCAAGGGCAAATGTCTGTGGTGCTACTCAGTAAGAGTGCTATACGTAGCTTTAGAAGGAATGGGGTTTCCATAATTAAAGCCTTCCTTTCAGGGCATTTCATAGAGTGCAGTGATATGCCCTGGACTCTGCTTTGAAAGAGAGAATTAAAGGCAAAGATGCCCTCAAGGGGGTTCAGCTCCCAGGACTGCATCCATGCAGCATTGCAGAAGAGGTTTGCCTTTACCTCCTTCTGAATGTTTTTCCAAGTTCCCAGTCAGGTCAATGATACTAGAATTCCTGCGTGGGTCCCCCTGCAAGTATGAACCAGGACTGATCCTGCTTAGATGCTGGGATCAGCCAAGACCATTGGTTACCCTGTGAAAGGAAATAAACATCCCGTTAGAAAGGGTAGAAAAGCACTTCTGCAGCCCTGCTGAGAAAACTATATAGATGCTGTCCCTAGTGAGATCCTCTTTACCCTTTTAAAATGGATAGACACCAACTTGTAACAGCCAGCAATGCAGGGTTCCTATTGGAAAAAGGAAGTGTTCTCCCCACTCTGCAGTGCTGTGAGAAGTGCTTTGCTGCTTGATTGCACCATTTGGGGAAAGTGAATGTTCAGACTGTGCCTGTTCATGCGTTTTTCAGGAAGGCCCCTGTGCCCTCAAGAGAAGGAATTCCTGCTTGTGGAACACGAGAGGCTTCCGAGCCAGAACTGCCCCAGAGTGACCATTCGGTTCAGCTTCTGGATGACTCCCTCCAGTCCAGTGCTGTGGAGTTGCATGCTCCACAGGTCAGTCCTAATGAAGACGCTGCAGCGGTGATCGATTCCATCATGAATGAAAACCAAACAACGCCATCGAGTGACTCTTTCCTTGACAGGTGTGTCTGCTTTCAGAGAGGCAGCACCTGGTAGGGTTATCCTCCACCACAGAATCACAGCATTGGAGGAAGTTAGTCACTTCTCTGGTCCCTGCAGGTATTCAAGCCATCCATGACGAGTAGCTGTGGAACATTTGCTTCAGACAGCCCCCCCCACCCTCATTTTCCGAGAAAGTTGGTTCTACCGTTGATTAATGAAACCCTTGGTTTTTCCTTCTGTCTCTGGAGCTGCTGCCTCCCTCATTCTTCACTGTCCTCTTGCCCTGGAAGGGAGAAGATGGCTCTTTCTCTTGTGCCCGGAAATTCCTGGGTATTTCTGTCCAGCAGCAGCTGTAAATCCCTTGCTGGATTCTTTCTCCCTTTACTTATTTCTCCGGCATAAACAGCCATGAAAGAAACCCTCTTGTTTCCTGCCCTCCTTTCACCATGGTAATCTTACTGAGCCTGTATGCCATGAGGATGGGATGTAAATCTAGCAAATTAAAGGCCGCCTATTCCAAATCTAGTTGCCCATTCTGCAGTTTCTTCTTAGAACATAGTAAAATGGTATCTGCTTCCTTCTGCCTGTTCCTCTGTTACATTTATATTTCCTTCCACAGAGAAGAGATCCAAGATTTCTTGAATTGTATTGATGCGAGTCTTGAGGAACTTCAGGCAATGCTGTCTGGGAAAAAAATCAACCATGCTTCGGAAACACTGACTGATGTGAGTCCATTTTTCCATGTTGATTTCTTAGATGGGCTGCTGCATCTCTCTCACATTTGCTAGAGACGAAAAACTGAGTTTTCTTACAGTGTGGCAAGGCATCCTAGAGTTGGGGGAGTTTTCCTGCTCGCTGTGGAGGCAGAGCTAGGGAACATTTTGCTGATGCTTCTGATGGGAGGAGATGCCACTTTCCTTCCTTGAGTTCTGGCCCTGCCCTACTCCAGCAAGTGTGTCTCCCTGATTGCTGCTTTTCTTTTTTCTTCCATTCTCTGCCTTCTCTTTCTTTCCCTCCCCTTCAGGATCAGCTAGTAGTGGCCACCAAGCAAGTGGACACCAATTTGCTGTCCGGAGTGCTTGGAGAACTTCTCTGACAGCTGGGCTGACCCAGGGAACCAGCCTTCAGTACCACCCCATTGTGCCCTCTTTGCTGCATTCTCCTGGGAGAAAATGGTCAATTCTGCACCTGCTGAGTCATTGGGACAAAGCTTGTGGCTCCCCCCACCCTGACTCAGCCTCCACCAGATAATCTTAACCCAAAGCCCAGACCTTACCCTTATCCCCTGTCAGAGAACGGTATAACTTACCAAGTTGGGTCACAACCCCTCTGAATCAGGACTGGACTAGTTACCACCTTCCCATAGGTATGTGTGGCTAAAGCAGTGGAAAATGCTATTTGGGCAGTCCTTAACTAAATTGAACCTTGGGAGGTGAGGAAGGAAGTGATGCTGTTCCCTTCTCCTCTCCTTACAGACCTCCTGGCTGAGAACTCACAGGGATAAGGGCCAGTCAACCACCCATAATTGAGATACCTCCCTTCAGGATGAGTCAGATTGGGGGGAACAGGAGGAGAGTGCCCATGGATTAAGGAAGAAGACAACAAACTGTGTGGATTTGCTCTCCATAGTGGCCAAGTAGTAGGACAAGAACCAGTGGGTGGAAGCTTTATAGAGAAGATCCAAGCTTGAAAGAAGAAGGAACCTCTTGATCATGACAGCCTTCCTTTTGGAGTCATGAGGGCTCCATCGTTGGAGGATTTCAAGCAAAGGCTGCATAGCTGTTTGCATGGGCTGCTCCTAGGATTCCTGGCTGGGCAGGAGGTTGGGCCAGAAGACTTTCAAGGTCCCTTCTGCCCCTTGGACTTTATGATTCTGGGGTTGAGGGACTCCATCTTTTAGCCTCAGCAGGTGACAGCACTTAGCTAACTCAAAGGAAGCTTATTTTCTTTTACCTATTCAAGCCTTTGATTTGTCTCAAGGGAGGCTTTTGTCATATTTTTGCTGTTTAAATTGTTGTTTAAACTGTTTCTAATCCATAAAACAGATCAGATTGTCTTAATTTCTGCTTTCAGACCTTCAGTCCTGAGCTTCCTGTATTGGATTCAAGCATGCCAGAAGTTCCTCTCAGACTGGAAAATGTAGGTAGTAGGGTCTCCCTTGGCTCCTAGGAGGGAGGGGAGCAGTGAATTGGGAAAAACGTGGAGAGCTGTTTTGGAGTTTAAGGTACCAAGGTGCATTCCTTTCAGACCAGCAAAGTTGCTTAGATAATGCTGGACCCCGATCCATTGAATTTCAGGAATACCTTTGCCAGATGAAGGGAGTATAGAAAAAGAGAGAGTTAAGAGCACTCTTTCAAATGAAGAAGGTTAATAGGTATGAACCTATAGAAGACAATATATGCAGTTCAGGGTTGAACTGTGGAGTCCTTGGGGTTCTCTGAGCTTGGTTGTTTTTTTACAAATGTTTTGTTACCCAGCTACCTAGCCGGGTAACGAAACGTTCGCAAGAAAACAACCAAGCTCAGAGAACCCCAAGGACATTTGTAAAAAAACAACCAAGCTCAGAGAACCCCAAGGACATTTGTAAAAAAACAACCAAGCTCAGAGAACCCCAAGGACATTTGTAAAAAAACAACCAAGCTCAGAGAACCCCAAGGACTCCACAGATATGAACCTCCCCCCGCCATATATTTTAGCTTTTTGAAAGTAGTTGTACCTCTTCTCATGGAAACTTCCAGCAAGTCACAGTAACTGAACTGATTCCATACTGGTTTAAATGTTTGCTGAAAGCCTGATTTGTGAAGAATTCTAGTCTGAGCTTAAGGAACTACCTGATGGAGAAAGAATAAAGGTGGATATTGGGAGGTCGCAAATGATCTTGGGGACATTTTTTCTTTCCTCTCCCCACCACACCCAGCTTTTTTAAGGAGAAAAAAAGTTGATCATAAAATAAAACTATAGGGCACAGCCATGGCTTGACCTATGTATTGCTGACAGGACCCCCCAAATATGACTTCTCCATTTGGAGGGGGAGATGGTTGCCCATCCCTGGTGAGCAACCTTGATGGTTTGAACTTTCTCTTGATTTGGCTGCCATCCTGTCCAGGAGGGCTTAAAAGTTCAAACTGCCCACAGTCACTTTCTTCAGATTACTGACTTGTAGGAAAGCTGGTGAATGAGCTAACCCAGGAGCAGGTAACTCTTTGCTGCAGGAGCCCCTTCCTTCGGGGCTGAGCTTTCAGGCACTGGGTTCAGTGAAAAGCTATTTCCCAAATGGCGTTTGTGCTCTCAGTATTGCTGGCTGAGATGCCAGCTTCTTAAAAAGATTTATTTAGCGTTTCCAGTCTGATGCTCTCCAGATTGCTGGACTACCAGACTGAGGAATGCTAGTTCTATCCTTTCCTTCAGGAAGTCTGAGTAAGAAACAGATTCAAACCCAGCTTTTTTCTATCAGTTCCAGCCCATGGCATTGATTCATTGATTCCCCCTGCCCGCCTTCCTTCTTCCCTTGTAAGCCATAGAGCCAAACTTGTTAGATCAGGTATTGAGTTCCTCAGCCTCCCCTCGCATGAGAATTGACCCTCTATTCAGACGGTGCTCCTCATGGATTTGTAGAGCCAGCTAGAGGCTTGTGGGCTGATGTGATGGTGCTGCTGGTGGGGTGATTCCTCCCCCTTGCTCAAAAGGTTCTGCTCAATTTCTGTTAGGTCATGGAGGGGTCAGGAATGATTTTGTCATTAGAGGGAGCTTTGCATCAAAGATCCTGGGCCAAAGCCATTCTGAAAGTGGAGTGTGTTTTGTTGGAACTCTGTCTGGCTTGGTTGGGATTTACTCTCCAACGTTTCTCTTTTCTGTGTATTATGAGATGAAGCATTTTCTGAAAAACATTTGGGTAGTTAAATGCTTGGACTCAGGCAGATAAGTTAGGAAGCCATTTGAAAGCCTTTTTCTTATGCAGTTCAGCTGTAAGGGTCAGAGCAGACTCTCTAAGAAAAAGGTTCCAGTTAAATAGCTTTAAATTATATTGCGACAGAATAGTTTTCTGCCAAATCTAAATTCTTTTGTCGACTAAATTCTTAGAAAAAAATCCATTCATTTTTCTTTTCAAATGAGCTCCTTTTCCAGGATGGTTTGGATTCTGCTAATTGGAGTAAAACTCTGGCAGCTTCCACCAACGGCCTTGACTTTGTAAGTGATGCTCAGAAGAACTCTGTGTTGGACGAACTCAGCATACAGGTTTTCTGGGAGAAAACGTTGGGTGGGATGGCGCTTTTTTCTCCCAAACGCCGTGAAGTGTGGACTAACACTGTTTCCAGAGGTTGTGCTCCGGAGGCAGACGGCTCCTGCTTTCTGGAGAGGCAGTGGTGTTGCTGGTGAGAGGGTATGTTCAGAGAGGCATGAGGGTCCTGAAATGAAATGCAGGCTGTCAAGAGCTTGGAGTAATTGTCTGGTGTGTGAACGTGAGTGTGCATAAAAATATAGATAGTTTACTAGAATTCTTTTTATATTTATACCCTTACATTAAAAAAATTGGACAGCGCTCCCTGTAGCAGAAATACCAGAACAAAAATCTCTTAATAGTTCTACTGACCATCCATAGAATAGATCAGAAAGGAGTACTCAGAATTACTGGCAGTCACAGTGCTTTGTGTGAAGTAATGGTGCTTTAAGCAGAGTGCTACCGACTGGAGCTGGGGAAACAAAGCGTTGGCTAGGCTGTTACAGCTGGAGTGATGAGCTGATTAAAGGAAAAAGAGGAAACACAATTCAGCTGAACAGGATGCAGTTGGCTCCCCGTCCTCGTGTTTTAAAAAAGGTTGTATTTAAAAACAAATATTCTAAAAATGTTTTTCTGTGTATTTGCTTTTTTTTTTAGACAGAAGATTTACCAGCAAATTTAGATACAGTTGGAATGAATGATGAGGAAACCTCAGGGAAGAATGGTGAGCAAGGGTGGGAAATTGGGAATTGCTTTACCCAGTCAGTCTGAAGAAGCTAAGCAGGGGTGGATCTACTGGGAATCCATTTGGAAAGAACGTCCATTTCAGTTCCTGTGTGGTTTACAACAGCCTCTATATTCCATAGGAACTGGTGTCTTCCAGATGAGTTGGACGTCACCTTCCATAATCTTTCAGCCCACATGGCCAGGAGCTAGGAATTTGGAAGGTCAGAGTCCAGCCCATCTAGAGAGCACCCAGTTGGGAAGAACTGCCCCACGAGGCCCTGAATCTCCGCCTGGCACATTGACTTTCATGCCCTGTATGAGGGACATCCTTGAGAATGGGGTCTTTTCCCATTCCCGCCTAAAACTTTGTTCTTAAAATGCTCTTCTTCTTTGATGTTTTATCTTGGAATGTGATTGGGTCTTAACACTTTTTGTGCGTCTTACACAAGATTTGGAGAGCAGAGAAAGGAAGGGAGGAATCAGGCTTGTGCAAGGAAAGGTTGCACAGTGGCAAGAAATGCAGTCCTATTCTTAGAGACAACTCAGGGTACAGCCTACAGATGCCAGAGTGCTGAGTGGGCCGGGCAGAAGTCCTCTATCCACTCTGTTTATGTTTCTGACCTTACAGTCTGTCATTAACTTTCCCAGCACTCTGAATCCTTTATAAATCAGCCCAAGACTAAAATCGAGTTCAGGGCCTCTTCTGTGGGGCTGGAAATTTAGTTGATTGGCACAAGATCAGGGAGGTTCACAGGAAATACTTTAAAGAGGACAAGATGGTGGCCACAACAATGTGATTGAAGCTCTGCTGGTTTGTTTGTGTGGGCAGAGTTTTTGACTCCTTTACCATGCCCCGTGGACACCCCTGCACCCCTTCTTGGCAGTAGTGACAGCCCCCCTATTCAGCATCCCCTCTGCCAACTTTCTGTTTCTAGGTTTTGGCATTTTGTTTGGAAGAGAGCTAGTGCTGAGCTGATGCTGTTCTGTTAGATCTTTCTTTCTATTTTGATGCGGTACTTGTGAATTGACTTTTGTTGTGAAAGACTACATGTATATGCTTTGAAGGATAACAGTAAATTGAAACTATAGCATCAGTAATGATATCCCTGGCAGTAAACTCTACTCTGTTCTGGCCAGGCAGGAAGTCAGATGCAGAAGGTGAGGTTTATTTATTCCTGTTCCCAGAATCGAATTCCTTCTGTTCATTTTTCTGTAAGTCTGATAGGCAGGACCCCATCACATACGCCTGAATTCCTTGTGTTTGATCGTTATTGGCATCATTGGCAGTCCAGCCTGTGGGGTGACCCAGTTGACAAAGCTTCTGCTTGAATGTTCCCCCTGGGATCTTGTCTTGGCGCTCTGCTTGGGTGGGCAGGGGGTGGCTTGTTCCTTCCATGGCTGCACATGCCAACCAGCATTTAGCCTGGCTATTAATGCGTAGATGTTTTTGCCCCCCCACCTCAGACATGCAGCTGATTCAGTATCGGGGGAACCCTTTGCTTTCACTGTTTGAAGAACCTCCTTCCAGTGAGGAAGTTGGCAGCCTGGGGAATGCCAGAGGTGATCTGCTGGGCTCAGTGGAGAGCAACGAAGCACTGCAGCAAGTCGCCGATCCAGAAGGCCCGACAGATGGACCCGCTCCGCTGGAGCCCCTCGATCAGCCCCTTCTCTCAGAAGACATGAACGGCGAATATAAACTCTTTCCTCTTCTGCTTCTCAGCCCAGTTGCGAATTTCATAGAAGAGGCCTCAGAAATAGAAACTACTTGAATCACTGGCTGGTATTTTCACAAAGCAGCATCTTTTCTGTAGAAAAAAGATTCAAGAAGTACCGCTGAGAAGTTCTACTTCTCTTACTTTCTGTGGCTGAATTCCCTCCGCAAACAAGGGAAGCTATTTTTACCCAAAGAATGTAGTGTTAGGAAGGCAGCTGCAAGGCTGGAGCTCCGAATTGCACTGATTTTTGTTTTTAAAAGCAAAGAACAACAAATTTCAAATCTGCTTTCGAACTGTTTTATATATAGATGCTATGCTATTAATAAGACAAATGTTTATATCTTGATGTAAGGTTTGCATATTCATATGAGGGGTTTTAGTCCCATGATAGTCAATACTATCATATTACATTTATTTTTCCCCCCCTGAAATGTTGTGTTGGAGATAGCTTGTATGTTGTTAGAATTATGTTAGAGGCTTTTTGTAACTGTAACTTTTTTTTCTTCCAAACTTTTGCCTCAGTTCTCACTATTCAGCCATGTCACCTTTTGTGTACTATTTACCCTTAAGATTTCCCTCTAAATATTAATGTAAGTAACTTCTGTTTCCTATGGAAAACAATATATTTTTAACGCATCCATTTTAAAATGATGGTAGTATGTGGACACAGCTGGATATTTCGATCCTTTGCAAAGAGCTTTATTTCTCATGCACATTGCATGCCAAATCTTCTGTTCCTGAGGTGGCTTTCCAAGTTGCTAGTTTTCAGTAAATAATGGAATTATCATCAAAGAAGCGTCAGCAAAGTCAACCTTTTCTTGCACAGAACTCTCAGGCCCAGGGCACGGAGGGTTTTGGTGACCTGTTCTGCCCAGGTGTCTCTGGCAGGAGCCCTTCTGGGGATTGGCGTCTGACGCTTGTGTGGTTGCTTGCTTCCGGGGCTTTCGTGCCGTCCCCAGATTCTGCTTTTCCCCTCGTCCGCAAAAGCAGTGTTACGAGACCATTTGGCATGCTGCGATACATAGAAAGATAGCATCTATTTGAGACATGAAGTAACATCTCCTGGACTATTGTCCCTTTGTCCAGAAACAAAATACGGTGGCCAAATCCAGTAGTAGCCCCAGCAAGGGTCATGGGTGCCAGCCCTTTAAGTCTACATCATCCAAGGCAGACCCAGGGTGATCTGCAGCCATTTCAGCCTCAGCTCTTCTGTAAGTGGCACAATAATAGCACAACACAGTCGCCTTCAAAATGAAGGGTTTCCTTTTATAAAAAGAACAATCACGTGCGCTCGCCTGAAAAATTGTGTTAGGGCCTTTGCCTGTTGATTTCACAGATTATGAAAAACTACATCTATAGTGTTCATCCAAGATTTTGCATTTCTACCAGTCTTTTCTGGTATGTTGTTTCAAAAGTGAATGAATTCAAAAGTTAATGGTTTTGAAAACTAAAAATTTCACTGGTTTTGAAAAGTCAAGCACTACTAAGTCTATTCCCAGCACAGGTGTACTTCCCTGTGTTTTTCTTTCTTTGTCAGATCTTGTACACTTTCCATCACCCTGACAAGCCAGACATGGCTACACCTCATAAGTAAGAAGAAATGGATTATGTAATTAAAGTCCAATATTGTTGGGCCAGGAGATCTGTGTTTCCTTGTTCAAGCCAGCAGTTGCACCCAACTCCCTGTGTTCTTGATGCAGCTGGCCATATAGAGATGGAGGTGAGTGAGGCTGACAGTATGAGTGGCTGTCCTCAGCACAGTCTGTTTCAGATAAGGCTGCACCTGTGGAAGCTGGGCAGAGGTTCTCCAGATCATGGATGCTACCAGCAAATCCAGCAGGAGCCATGAATGCAGAAGAACCATTAGGTTGCAAACCTGCTGTCTCCGGGAGAGCACAACATCCATGGAGAGTCAATGTAGGTTCTGTCCTAGAATCAGTAGGCCTCTGAATGAACAGTCCCTCTCCTCTGTCTTGGTGAAGACTTAGTGTGCTCCTTCCAACCAAGTCCTGGTGGTCTTCAGGTAGAAATTCTAACACATTTCCTGCTGGGCCTCAGGTAGTGATTTGCAACTGGGTATCATCAGCTTATTGATCATATCTTACTCTGAACTGGCAAAAGATCTGTTCCAGCGGCTTCATGTGGATAACTAAACAGGATTAAACAGACCAAGCCATGGGGCACACCTTAACAGAATGCTTCAGGGCCCAAATGGTCTCCCTCTCCCTACTGACAAGACCCATCCACTCAGAAGAATAACCACGTAACACATAGGTGATCCAAAAGGATACCGTGGTTGAGGAGAAGGATGGTCATACCACAACTCATCCATGAGAATAGCCAATGGAGTTTCTGTCCCATGCCTGAGCCTAAATCCCAACTGCCACAGGTCCAGATAATTCATATCCTCCAGAGCCCTTGGTAATTGCAGAATTACAGCCCCACCACTTTCTCAGCAGCCTTCCCCCAGAAAGTTGGTAGTTGTCCATTGATGTTGGATCCAACTCTGACTTCTTGAGGAAGGGGCCGATCACTGCCTTTTTTCAAAGCTGCTGGAACCCCCCTCCCCTTCTCTCAAGATAACAGTGATCAAATCAGAAACAAGAATGACATCACAGGCAGATGGGAAGTTCTGCACTTAGGTAACAGCTGTTGGATGGAGGGTGCCTGCTTTGGCATTTGTACGCTGCAATCTTGCAATTCCCATCAGTCACAAGCTGAACGTGAGTCAGCTGGATAAGTCATTGCTAAAGAGCAGATGTGGATTAGTTGAGAAAGACTTAAATTCTGCTAGGGTTACACCCTTGCCTGCTGTGTACTGAGCTTCAAAAAATGAGTCATGGTTGGCATCCAATTGAGTACAAGATTGAAAAAGGAATAATGAGGCAATAAAGCAGGGGGTTAGAACTTGTTAGATCAAAACTTGATCTGCTATGTTTGGCACAATTTGGACATTATTTAAATCTTAAAACGCCTTCTAACTTTCTTCTTAATGGGTTCCTACATTTTGAAGATGACTATAACTGTTTAGGCCACAACATACACTGGTGAAGAAATTGCACAACCAACTTTACATTAAATGCCAACAATTTTTTAAAATGTATTGTCGAAGACTTTCACGGCCAGCATACAATGGCTGGTGTGGGTCTTCTGGGCTGTGTGGCTGTGTTCTTGAAGTTTTGTTTC